TGCAGTTACAAAATCAATCACTATCCCTGGATAAACAATCATGTATCCAGGGAGAGCGAGTGATTCCTAACTGCATGTAATCCTTTGACATATGATTACATGTGGTGTGCAGGCGTTTACATGCAGCAGCTGTCACCCGATCATTAATTTGAATCGGTGACAGTTGCCGCTTGTAACATGTGCATACATTAAAACTGGTACTGTATATAGTAGCGGCCCCCACGGGACTAAAAAATGTGTCCACTGGCCCCCGACTAAATTGTGTTTGAGACCCCTGTGTTACAGAAATGTAGGGAAAAGAAAACCAAAAGTAAAATGAGCAGTCTAGAATATCTCATATTACACAGCTATTATCAGCAGAAACACACCAATTATACATATGAATCTGAGACACTGTTACAAACAGAAGCAGCGTGGCAGACATGGCTTGCCTTTTAGAAATTATCTGGTTAACTGGGATTTAATGACATATACACATTCATAAGTTTCATAATATAGGATAGCAAAAAAGGTCTTGATATGTATATGGAACATCCGATGTTCTGAGAAGAGAAGTGATGGGACCATGAACAAATAATAGAAAGTCACTCGCACCCAATTTGATTCTCAGTCAATATTTATTGACCTCGGTTGTATCACATTGTAAAGTGACGTTTCAGAACCATGTGGTCCCTTCTTCAAGCAAACAAAGTTTGTTTGCCTGAAGAAGGGACCACACTGTCCCATAACGTCGCTTGTGACACAACTGAGGTCAATATATATTGACTGAGAATCAAGTCAGAGTGCAAGTGACTTTCTATTATTTGTTCATTGATCTGTAGAGGCATCTGCGGTCACTTCGGCACCCACCGGTTATTTAAGGGTTCAATCCGGTTAGGAGTGCGATGGGATTTATTGAACTGTGATGGGACCATGGTCACATAACTAAACACAGGAGATGTGGAGAAGCACCATTGGCTGCATATTACAGCATAACATATTACAGCTATTTATATCATAGTAACTGTAACACAAAGGAGGTGTGGGCGGGGCTGTATGCTGGACCCTGGTTCAAAGTCTTCCATGGGGCCTAAACCTTTATATTTGCACTACTATATGTATGTGTAGATTATGTGGTCCCCACATAAAAGGCTCTGGAAATGCAAAAATAGTGCAGTCCTTGAATGATCCTTGTGTCCCATAGTAAATGCAATCCTACTTAAATTTGCAAGTACCTTCAAAATGTCTAGTCATGTCTGAAAAAGGAGCATCGACCGCTGACCTGTTTTACACTTTACAGCTTCTGACACTCTCATGCTTATGCTTTGGCTTCACTACTTAGTTAGTCATACCTGCCTATTTGTTCCAGGTCAGTGACTCACTAAGGGTAGCTAGAGACAAGCAACTACATCACCAGGAAAGACTGGTGCTATGACATTAGTCTGTCCTCAAACTGTTAGGACCTGTCACCATGTATTATTCCACTTAACAAAATGTCAAATGGAGCACATGCACATTTAACACTCTCTTCTTTTTTCTCTATAGATCATAAAAAGGTACTTCACAGGGAATCACTGTGTACAAAAACAAGGGTCCCCTTCTTCGGGACACAGAAGCGATCTGGTGACAGGTAAGTCGCCAGGATCGCTTCTGTTGTAAAGCTGACAGTCGGCTCTACAAATTTAAACAGAGTCCCGGCGGCAAAAGTCGCCGGGAGTCTGTTTAAACAGCCCCGATGCTGGCGACGTACACTGTACGTCGTCAGTCACGAAGGGGTTAAAAGTGACACAAAAATCAGGAGTAAAACCTTAAAAATGCATTCAAGTACCCACGCTATTAACAAATATGTATCTTATTTGTGTATCACTCAACTGTAGATGCTCAAATCGTCTCTGAATTTGTGCTCCTTCTGGAGGGTGGCTACTTTTGATCCCCATGCTCCGTGTGTGTGTTGTAAAGTAGCCACTGCTCCAAGCTTGCTTCAGTGACGGACTACAATCTCACATTTAGTTTACTAACTTATATTCTGATTGTAGTCCATCACAGGAGCAAGCTTAGAGTGGTGGCTACTTTACAACACACATAGGGACTAGCTATGCATCGATACCGATACTAGTACCGGTATCAGTGCCGATCCAGAGTATTTGGGCAAGTGCTTGTACTCGCCAAATGCTCCCGATACTTATCACGATACTGGAACGTTCAGTATCAGGAAGCTGGGTGGCGAGTCATTACACGCCGCCCAGCTTCCTGACTGGCCAGGAAGCAGGCTCCATGCTCCCATGTCACCAGGTGACTCGCCCCCCTTGCTTCCTTATTGGCTGGGAAGCCGGCTCCATGCTCCCTCATTACTTGGTGACAAGGGAGCATGGAGCTGGCTTCCCGGCCAATTAAGAAGCTGGGCGACGTGTATTGACTTGCTGCCCAGCTTCCTAATTGGTGGGGAAGCTGGCCAGTCAGGAAGCTGGGCAACGATGCATTACTTGCCCCCCCGGGCGTCCTGATTGGCCAGAAAGCCGGCTCCATGCTCCCTCGTCACCTGGTGACGAGGGAGCATGGAGCTGGCTTCCCAGCCAATCCAGTAGCCGTGCGGCCTGTGATGACTCCCAGCCCAGCTCCCTGATTGGTCGGGAAGCTAGCCAATCAGGAAGCCGGGCGGCAAATCATTTCCCACCCCCCAGCTTCCTGATTGGCCAGAAAGCCATCTCCATGCATCTTCGTCACCTGGTGACGAGGGAGCATGGAGCTGTCTTTCCAGCTAATCAGGAAGCAGGGCGGCAAGTCATTACACACCACCCTGTTTCCTTAATGTGACTTCCGGTATCGGTATTCGGTATCTGCGGGTACCAAAACAAAAAATATCGGTACTCATACTCGATACCGAAAAACCGGTATCGGTGCATCCCTAAGAGGGACCATGGGGAATAGCCACCCTCCAGCAGGAAGAACAGTGTCAGCACCAATTCAGAGATAATTTGAGGATCTTCAGCTGAGTGATACACAAATAAGCTACATTTGTGTTAATAGTTAAGGCCAGCATCGGGGCTGTTTAAACAGACTCCCGGCGACTTTTGCCGCCGGGACTCTGTTTAAATTTGTAGAGCCGACTGTCAGCTTTACAACAGAAGCGATCCTGGCGACTTACCTGTCACCAGATCGCTTCTGTGTCCCGAAGGAGAACTATGAGGTGAGTGCTTTTCACTCACCTCATAGTTCTAGCCGACCTGTGACAATTAGACTGTCACAGGTCGGCTTAGTAGATCGGGAGGTGAGCAAACCCATACCGGCGTTCGCTCACCTCTCGATCCTGTCACGGCTCTCTGCCGTGACAGGGGAGGGGCTGGATTCCCCCCACTCCGATCCGCCAGCGCTGACTGGCAGAACGGACGGGGGAGGGGGCGGGTACAGCTGGCTCTGCCTCTAGATAGGCAGAGGCAGCTGTCAGTCACGCAGCTGGGCGGATCCAGACATAATTGTCGGGATCCGCTTCAGCTGCGGCGTCTCAGTATACCGCAAGCAGCAGCTCGCAGTATACTGCGGCGTCTCAGTATACCGCGAACTACAGCTCGTGGTATACTGAGCCTAGGGTGACGGGAGGACGCTAGTTTGTGTCCTCCCGTTACCCTAAGGAGAACTATGGGGAAAAGCCTTAACATTACATTGCCTACATTAGACTGCTGAGAAGCTTCAGATCTTCAGACATGAGCGAACGGCGGTGACAGAGGCAACTATTTACCTTTTTGGTAGGTTGCTTAGTTTTTTTTAATGTTTTTGCATATATCTATTGCTTGCTAACAGTAGATATATGCAAAAAAAAGAAAAAAAAAGAGTTTAATTCTACTTTAAGGTACTTGAATGCAATTTTAAGATTTAACCTCTAAGTTTAGTTTTACTTTAAAGTGGTCATGCTGGTTATCACCACCTAAAGAAGTCCACCATTGCCTGGTTCTCACCAGATTCTTTCCAGTAACATCTGAATTCTGTCATGGTAGTACCATACCAAGTGGTGGATAACAATGACAGCTAGTCAATAACAGTGGTAGCCTAATATTGTTTTTTTACATGAACAGGTGAGGTGCTGGATTTGAATATTCAGAAGATCGGTCAGAACACAATAAAGCACAATGGTCCGGTGAGCCACTCTCAACAAAAACAGAGTGTCCCACATACAAGGGAGTCCAGGGTTGAAGACATATGCATATACACAGTCTAATAAGAGCAGCAAAAAATACAGAAGAGTCCAAAAACATTCAATACTAGAATGGGTTCATAAATGACAACACATTATTTTCCCATGTCAGGTTACCATTAAACCATATACAGTGCAGTAACACTACAAGCATTTATACTGGGAAATGTGTGATAATGGCAGTGATGAAGTAAGAAAACCTGCATAAAAGCAAAAATCACCTAAAAAGCTGGAACATGCATGGTGTTGACATATCATATTGCTTTGAAAAAACAGAACTCAGCTATGTAACAGGACATATAACAGCCAATAGTCTTGACTATTCATTATTAAGCCTCTCCATGTGTCACTGTCACAGCATCACAAAAGTATCATATTTTTACAATAGATATTAGAAGAACTGTATAACATGCAGGACACACTCAGTATTGGTTATGTCTTAAATAATATTTACTATGAGTAACTGCAATACAGATCTATGCTAACCGGAAGACTATCAAGTAAAAGGCTGTCACTCAATCTCTCCCATTCATGTGATCGCAGGTCAGCACACATGCACTATCATCAACGTGATCAAATACTGTTTCTCAATTCTTCCCAAAAAAAAGGCAAGATCATGCACATTTCTATCACTCTACACACAGCATGAAATAGAATATTAGATCCTAAACTATGGGACATGTAGCAAATAATATGTTTCATTACACATAATATACAGTTTAAGTTTATTTGCTTACTAATGCTGTTCAGCAGAAATAAAGTAAGCACAGGGCTTGTGGATGATTAACACAAGCGACAAGTGATGCATGGCAGTACAGCACACTATTCTTACCAGGGAGAGAACTTTCCACTTGCTGGATTTCTTCTTTCTGCGCTGGGCAGCTGTGACTGGTTCTTCTGCCATATCAAAGGCATTCAGCATAGGTTCTGCCTGGATCTCTGTGCCAGTGCCCCCATTCCTTGTCTCACAGTCCATTGCCTGAGTAAGTGATCACACTCCAGAAAGCTGAATGCACTCTCCCTTCAGCTCAGCCTGCACAGATGCTTGCCCCGCCTGCTTCCTGAGCCTTATGTCACACACATGCTGTAATGGACTGCTTATGCTCACTGCACACAATCAGCTCAGTTTATGTGATGTAGCCATTGTAATCATAATACAAAATATGAAGAATCATTGTTATCATAATAATAACTAAAAGTTGTAACATGAACCCTTCTTTGTTATACCATGTACGATGTATCATAATATTTGCTTATAAGGCTAGATTCACACCTAGTTGATAAATCGCGCGGATTATGTTGCGCGATTTCGCGCAAAACACAGATTTGCATTGCAGTCAATGGAGGCTGTTTACACCTTTGCGCTTTGTCGCGCAGATTAAATAGCCTGTCGCACAAAAAGGTGAAGGCGCTATTTTCGGGCCGTTGTCGCGCAGTTTGGGTCCCATAGACATCTCTATGCGTTGAAAACCACGCAAAAACAGCTCAATGGCGCAAAAACAGCCTGATGGATCATTTCTATCTACAGTGACTTTTTTTTTGTACAACTGGCGTTCTGAAACAGTAATAACAGTTATTTTATGACTTGATCCAACCATTTTTATTAGAGGCAGATAATTAAAAAAAAAGGCAAAGATAAATATTTGAAATTCCAACAATCATTTTACAAGTGTGATCACGCTTTCCTATAGAGTGCACAGGGGCTCGCATAAAATGATTGCTGGCTTTAGAAATCCTTTATCCGTGCCTTTTTTGTAAGTGAGGTCTGCGTATAATCAAACTGCTTGGATGAGGTCAGGGTGACTTTTGGATTTATATGCTGAGCACCTAATTCTTTGGGAGAAGGTATGTTAAGGGCTTGAAGCAGAACTCCAGGCACAAATCTGATTAACCCTTGCAGTGGGGCAACACTGCAGTTGCCCATGGCAACCAATCAGCTTCTCTCTTCAGTTTACTCAGTTATAATTTGAAAATGAAAGAGAGAAGCTGATTGGTTGCCATGCACAGCTGCTACAGATTTTGTCTGCTCCAGTTTTGATAAATTCCCCGCTTTGTATATAATGTGATGACTCACAGGAACTTAGACCGCTTCAGGAGAGGGGGAGTGGGGCAGAAGGAACCAGTGAGTATATATATTTTTTTATTCTCCTCCCTAGATACAAATGAGCACAGCAGTCCTCACACCATAGACCAGAATAAATGCACGGCAGACCTCAGACCAAAATAAATGCAGGGCAGACCAGAACCAACGCACGGCAGACCACAGAACAGAATAAATGCAGTTGAGACCGCAGACCAGAACCAACACACGTCAGACCACAGACCAGAACCAACGAACAGCAGGAACTACTAAGCCCAGCAACTATACATTACACAGATCTTAATGATTATCGATCACACTTTCAGTGCCACAATGGTTATCACTGGATAAAAGTGGTGATCCAATCTGTCCACTGCTGTAATCTAGTTTTCTGACCAAATAACTGTTGTTTCCTATGTGCCTGATTTTTCTATTTGATGTTCTAAAAATAGCTTCACATTGCTACAATATGTGTGATAATAATCACTGGCTCCTTACACATTTTCTTCATTCGTCACACATCCCTGACAGCCTCCTCTTCACCACCTTAGGGCTCTTCTCACCTGGATCTGGGCACATTCTTCAAAGGACAGCAACAGAGCTAGCCAGCCCCCGGGAACGAAGGAGCTGGATTCAGTCAAGAAGCAGCACGACATAGGCAACAGCAACGGCAGGGTCTGGTGGGCCCAGGGGACGGGGGACATATCCTGAGTCTTACATCCGTGCGGGCTGGATGGAAGTAAAAGGGCAGGGGGTGGTCAGTGATGGGCCCCCTCGTGGCCGTGGGCCCTCAGGCAGTGACCGAATGCCCGAATAGTCAGTCCGCCCCTGCACTGCTCTGTGTCCCCTCCGACACAGCCCAGAGTCCAGCGGGGAGGAGATAAATTGTCATAGGAGGTCAAGCGGGCGGGGGGAGGAGAGCGCTGTGAACACCCGAGGTGTCACCCCCCGCTCAGCCTCCTGTGACAGATCAGGAGAGCAGCGTTGTGAGGGTGAAGACAGCTGTCAGCTGTTACAGGAGGCCGGGGCAGGGAAGGAGTCATCTGTCAGAGGAGATCAAGCTCTCCTCAGCCTCCTAAAACAGCGAGTCACGATGGAAATCAGTGATCGCTGAGTGTTTGTAAATAATTGAGGACATATTATGTTTACTGTGTCCCCAATTATGAATGAATGGGAAGTGATCTACATCACTTCCTGTTCTTTCATGATTGTGGATATAGTAAACATACTATCTGTGCCTTTTTGTAAGTGAGGTCTGCATATAGTAAAAGGGGATCCTTTCTTACTTCATGTCGACTTATTATGTGGACTTATATGCAGAAGATGAATTTGAGCACCTAAATGGTTTTCTTTGGGAGAAGGTAAGCAGTGGCGTAACAATCACCATAGCGACCCAGGCGGTCGCTATGGGGCCCGGGGCGCAGTGGGGCCCGGCCAGATGCCTTGCGGGTCGCTATGGGATCTTCTGCTGCTGGCTTTCACTTGGGTCTGAAGACGAACACGCCGTTGTTCAGATCATCTGTGCAGCGGCGCGTTCGTCTCCACAGTCAATGAGAGCCAGCAGCAGCGGTGGGGAGCAGGCTGGACCCGGTGTTCGATCAACGTCGCGAGCCTCTGACGTCACCGGCAGTGGAGGAGGAGGCGGGCCCGTGCTCGGCAGCAGGGGAGGAGGCGGCCTCGGTGACGAAGAAGGAGGCGTGCCCGGCGACGGAGGAGGTAAGGAGTGTGACCAGCCCGCCTGAGGGTGA